CGCCGCGGCCGCCCCCCTCACACCGACGGCGGAACATCCTCCAAGGAGAGCGGCGGGGATCGCGCCCTCCCCCTCGGCAGGAGTATTTTTCCTTTTATCCAAAACGGGTTGGAAATATTCAGAGCAAGCTACGGCAATGAAATGCCACCATTGACAAATCCAGTTCTGATTCCAGCTGGAGAACGAACCCTTCCGCTGCTCGCAAACCCTTTTGTCGTTCCCACGAGGTGGCACTTGGTAGCAGGGACAACTCCAAACGTGCTGTCGTCTGCATTCTGAAAATATCTGAGCAGCCAAACTCTATTTAAAAAAAAAAAAAAAAAAAAAAAAAAAAAAAAAAAAAAAAAGACTAACTTACTGTAATGTGTAGAAATTGCCTAGAAATTACCTTTTCTCTTGCTGACTGAGGTGTGCTCACTTCCATGACTTGAAGCAGCTCCCGTAGCTCAGGTTTCTGTCATGGGACCTGTGAGGGGGTGATGTGACCATTTCTTTTATCTAAGGGAAGAAAATTTTCTGGAGTGCTTTCTTTTGGAGATTCCCTGATGAGCCAARGTAGTCCTTAGTCAACATTTGGTTGTAGATAAGCGTGCAATATCAGCTGTGAAAGAAAGCTGTTGGCTCCTGATTGCCCGTGCAATTTAGACCGTTCAGGACCCACGATGTCCTGATGGCCTGAGTCAGGTTTCAGAATGGAAGCCTGGATAATTTAGGTGTGAAAAATCCAAGCTGATCATAGAAATGCCATCTTTAAATGAGTTGGAGGTGGCAAGTGTTGTTCTAGTAATGGTTGGGGCTGGATACATTTATGTGAGTGTACAAAAATGTACGAATATTTACATTATGTGTGTGTGTGTGTGTTTCTGTTTCTACAGATTTATGTATTTATACACACAGGGGTTTTCAGAGGCTTCTTAATAAGAATGTTTTTAACTACAGACTTTTGCACTTTAGTGGCTTTGCGAATTTGGAAAGCTGATAGGGAGAGTCAGCCAAAAGGTGATAGTAAAAATTGGGGATTTTCTGCTCTGGTTCTTGCGGTTAATTTGCTTATCTCCTGAAAAAACGAAGTGTGCATGCTTTACTGGATCGTCCTGTGGGCAGTCTCGTTTCTCGTTCTGGGTAAGACTGGGTGGAAGTTTCTTGAACTGGAAAGCAGGGAGCTGTTCCTTGCAGTTGATAACGTGCAGATCATTAACAACTGGCCTCGGAAATGCCACGCTGTCACTTTCACCAGTGTTCCCAGTGCARTGGGTTATGAGGAAATGTGCAGCTGCTGATCCTGAGGACACCTCACGTAAAGTGTGACCGAGCAGGGGTTTGGGATAATGCAGAAGTGGCATGGGTGAGGACAGCAGCAGGAGGAACTGGAAGCTCTGCTCCTCTGTTATCAGGCCAGCGCCAGCGTGTCCCTGGTCCTTATCAGCCCWGGCAGAGCCGGGTTCTGACGTGCTGAGTCTCCGCAGGTCGTGCCATAGGGTGCTGTAGGGGCTGCCCCCGCTGCCTCCTGCTTGCATTAAAGAGGGGCTGCGAAGGACCTTGTGACACATGGGASCAAGGCAGGGCAGGGGCGATAGACACCTTGAAGAGAGTCGATGCTGGACTTCATCTTCCTCAGCCTCCATTATGTCCTCTGCTTCCTCATCTCCATTGCAATCTGGCGTGGAGCAAAGGTACCGTGCAGCTCTTCGTGGCTCAGCATCCCCTGCAGCCAGAGATCCCACTGCCCCTGGTTCTCCTTTCTGTTTTTATAAAGACCTGGTTTAATCTTATTTTTCTGAGGAAGCGAGGTTGTACTGGGAATCTGGGGAGAACTGGAACTCAGTAGCTAATTGTAAGTTAATTTAATGGGAAGGTTGCTGTTGTGATAAAACTGCTCATAGTCACTTAGTGAGAGGGAGAGTCTGTTGTGTTTGAAATGTGTAAGAGGAGGAAGGGAAAGGCAGACACATTTGCTGAAGGTGTCAGGTGGTATACAGCTTCTCAATAAATAATTTTTTTCCCTTTTGCAGGATTAATTTTTCATTAACTTAAATCACTTGCTGTTTCTAGCCATAGYATTATATAAAGTGTATTACATTTACATATAAATGCTACCTATTGCATACCTGAATTGTATTGTATTTTACACTTGCCRTCCTTGTATTTGTTTGCACAGAGGTCTTGACAGGTGAAGGTGGCTTAGGTGCAGATGAAAGGAATAGTGTGATTGAGAGCTTATCTTGTCTCAGCCTCAGGTATCAGGTTTCCTACACTGGTTCTCCTTGTCTTGGTTCWGTTAGTGAGCAGTTGACTGAACATTATCACCAAATCCTTGTGTTTTTCTATGTCTGCATGTTTATAGTCTTCCACTGAAACCTCTCCTTCCTTCTACCCACTGAAATCCAAATGTGAATTGCTTTATAAGTGACTTTTTAATTTATTTGTGTGTGTSTTCTAAGGCTGTGGATTCGCACAGCTCAAGCACAGGAGGAGCTGAGATGGGGCCAGATGGTCTTGTATTCATTGGCAAAGAAGAGGACATAAAGAAGTCCCAAAGAATAACAGCCAAAATCGATGGCAGAGAAATTGTTGTTTTCTACCATGAGGGGAAATTTCATGCTCTGGACTCTCGGTGCTACCGTAAGATATTTGCCTGTGTGATCTCAGTTTTGCTAGAATTAYGCATAAAATCTGTTGCAATAATTAATATGATGTTTCGCCTTGTTTCAGATGAAGGAGGCCCTTTATGCAATGGAGAAATAGAGGTATGTAAGCAAAATAAAAATAATGCAGTGACATAGAGTCATGTCAAAACTAATGGAATTTTTCTGAGGTTTTTATCTGAACGTAATTTTGAAAAAAACACAGTCGTAGGCATATAACAGCCAAATTACCAAGCATACCTTTTGTCCTAAAAGATGATGTGATCTTTCCTTCTTCTTCCTGCAGGATATTGATGGACAAGCCTGTATTGTTTGTCCTTGGCATAAGTTTAAAATTACCTTGGAAACAGGAGAAGGATTGTATGAAGGAATAAACCCTCTGGAGCCATCACCAACACCAAAGTGGCAATCAAAAGGAGTCAAACAAAGGATTCATAAGCTTACAATAGACAATGGAAACATTTATGCAAGTCCTCCAGATTTGTCTGTGAACTTTGACTCTGATTATTATGCTGAAAAGTACAAAAAGGGKGGTGAATTAGCCATAGGAAAACCAAGCAACTTAGAAGGCACAGAGTAGGTYATGGCCAGAAAGCAGAATCTGGGGAATTCACCAGTGAAGAACCTTCGCTAGGAAATAAAAATGTACTTTGCCAGGAAGATTGTCTCCAAATTAAATTCTAGTGTTCATGTTATGTTAAAGCACTGAAATACATGGAATTGATTACAATAAGAAGCCCTCCATTGTCAGAAATGTGGCTGCTCTTGTGCCAAGGATTTTTTTGCACTTGCRTTTCAAAAAGTCTTATTCACAGCAGAGTGGCTCATAATATTTGATATTTTGCTAGGACTATTTTAAATTTTAAGAGGGGATATAGTGTATTACGGCTTATAAAACTTACTACATCAAGGCAGATAGTCAGGTGTAAAGGTTATCTTTATATATTTAACAGTTTATATTGCCTTCACTAAAAATGACATGGAAGTTTCTGACTTTTTAGCTATTGTGTGGKCTCTAGGTGTTTATCAAATGCAAAAAGGAAAGCACAAAACTTCAGCATATTTTAGTGCACTCTTTTATGCCTATTAGTGCATTACTACCTTGAGTATATAGAGGTATTAATTTTCCTTCTCCTCACTGAGCTCCTCTTGTTAGTTCATTAAATCATGTGCCAAGGATTTGTTGTGCTTGTCTTGTTCTTCCTGATCCTGTTGGTTAAAGAGGGAGCTGTTTGGTGCGATATGTGATGTAGTAGCCCTTGTTTGCTTTCTTGCTTTTATTTATTGTAATCACATTTTTATACATTCATTCAGGAAAAAAATCCTTCTGTGCAGAGGCAAAGATTGTGCTTTTCTGTGTGTGTTCACTGTACAATATGAGACCTGCCCCACAAATCCCTTCCAAGGAAGTTTCTCCCTGAGCTCTSATGCACTCCAGGACACTGTGGGTTTTTCTGTCCAGCCCATGGGGTCTGGAGTGCGGAGACACCCAGTCTTCACTGAGCATCACAGAATCACTGAGGATGGGAAACACCTCTGAGACCATCGAGACTGACTGTTAAATCAGCACTGCCGAGGCCACTACTGTGCATCTTTTAAATACATCATCCTACAAGGCTGCAATTCTTCAGCATGGGGTTTGTTTTTTTGGTTTTTTTTTGTTTTTTTTGGGTTTTTTTTTTGTGTGTGTGATTTGTTGCTTTTTTGCAAAGTTCACTCGTAGTCAGGTTCAGTTTGAAATGCCTGCTCTTCAGTTGTAAGTTTCTCTCTTGTGAAGCAGGTTGTCTTGCTGTCAGTGTGTCACAGGTAACACAGCCTGTGTCAACACAGTATTTGTTAATACAAATGGGTTTAGAAGTGAAGCAGAGGGACGAGTCAAAGTGAAATTTGTGCMCCACTGATCACAACCAAGAAAGCAAAGCACACAATCAATTTTACCACATCTAAAGTGAGAGAGCCATCTCTGATCGAGCCTCCTTGACATGGATTTTGTAGTCCAYGGAGGGGAGGGGGGGAAGTGGCACCTTGAAAGTGCTGTTGAGCTGACATCTCAGTTTTGTGTTTTAGAAGAAGTACAGCACAGAAATGCTTTTCTTGGCATCCTCTTCTTCYTTCTCCTCCCCCTCTTCTTCGTTCTCCTCCTCTGCCTCTCGCTGACCACTCAGCCAGCCAGTGCCAGTGGTCAGATGCCAATGCCTGCCTTCTGTCAGATGAATCACATCTTGATTATCTGCTAGAAATGCTATTATGTACTGACCAGTTCCCTGATCTGTTGTGGGGCATTATTATTATTTATTTGCTCTTAAATTAATATGTCAACTTCTCCTGATGCCATGGCATAGTTGGTAGAAAGGTGGGGCAGGTGCTTTCCTGTCATCCACCCCAGCTGATGCCCCATTTGGCTTGGCTGGTGTTAGGGGGAGGGAGAATTGCTGCCCTTCCCTCTGTCCTTACCCAGCCACCTGCACCTGCGATTAAATATAACCACAGACGTTGTGTCCTAGTGAAAGACATGGATCATATCAAAGAAGAGCATTGCAACATCATCAGATATGCCTGCATTGACCCAGGTGTTTGCTGAGATACTATTTTTATTGACATTTTTTGAAGCAGTGCATTACTAGAAATTGATTTATTTAAATTAATAAAGACGTAGTTTAGTTCAAGAAAGCACTGACTCTGGACAATGTATTGTTGTCTGCATGACATTTAGAAGATTGCCAGGAACAGCATTGAAAGSTTCATGAACATGTTCATACTAGTGGAAGAGTGCTCACGATTTTGCAGARTTGCATTTACTGGCTAAAATTCAGCAAAGTGTTTAATCACGGGGTTACTCTTAATCATATGGAATAACTGTAWCTGCATGTCCAGGCGTAGGTAAATCTTTTTTCTTCAGTACTTCTCAGGCATAATAACTATCTGCAAGCCTTTACAGTTGTTTTGCCTTTTTTTTAAGTGTTCTTTCCCAGGAAGATTGCATTATTTTAAAATCTGAAGTTAGCCCATTAAATTTTGTTCCCCTCAATTTGCCTGTTGATGATCACAGAAGGAACAGAGAATTATTAACTTAGGCAGTTGTGAACAAAGGAGGGAGGGTTGGTGGGCTATTAGGATTTTATTTTATTTCCCCCTTTCCTCTTTTCCCTTTYTCCTTTCTTATTTTCTTTTTTTTTTCCCCCTTTTTTTCCTTTTTATTTTTGAAAGCAAAGAACAAAGCCTTCAGCATATTAAAGTCGCTGCTTTTTWAAAAAAAGCTGGGTAAGGAATGTCCGGGCAGGGGAAAAGAGTAAGTGCTGACCCTCACGAGGGAAGGAGACTAAAGTGGGGGTAAACAGGAAAAGCAGCAAAAGGCACTTTTGGGAGCGAGGACACTGGAGCAGGGTGGGGGGACCGAGAGCCATCCAGGGAAACCCTGGAGAGGTTGGAGGGGGGCTGGGACGTGGCTGTTTGCAGTCAGGGACTGACAGGGGCGCAGGGAGGGAGATCAGGAGTGGGTAAATCAAGGCAGTGTTGCGGAGGAGGCATTTACGGGAAGATGAGGAGACAGAAGGAATGAGTACCTGTGGGCAAGAGATCGGTGAGTCTATGTCTGGGTAATTCCCGCTTCCTAGAGAGACGTGTTAATGGCAGCGATCAACCGAATCATTYCGGAGGAGTGTTTGGTTGGTTTTGAGGGGAGGTTTACTTTATTTTCACAAAGGAACAAACACCATCTGTTTTTCCATCACAGACCAGCCAGACAGGGAGCAGAGAAACACGTTTTGTGCTTTGGAATTAAATTTTTTTTGTGATGATTCAGCAAAGCATTCAGTCTCTGTATTAAGCAAGCAGCTTGAAGAGAATAATTATGTTTATCCTATWAGGGGAACATCTTTTCAAGAAAGACAGGTAAAACTGTGTAGCAGTTTGAAGTACAGTGTGATCCTTGGCCTGAGAGAAAAATGTGCAGTCTGTAGGAAAACTGTTAAAAAAAAGTCTTTAACCTTGAAGCCCTTTTCAATAGCTGCGCAATTCCTAATTTCATACTTAACACTGGAATTAAATCGTTTCTGAAATGATCAGAAATGTCTCACGTGCTGATGGTGCAAACATGGACGGTCAGAGTCAGCATGCACCAACCCACATTGGGTTGGCAGCTCTTTTTCAAGGGAAAACAGGGGATGGGGAATGGAAATAATGAAAGTGGGAAGGTATTTGAGCCTCTGGAGGGGGGCGTGGGAGGGGGGGGCTGCCCCTTTGCTGGCAGAGGTGGGGCAGTGGCTGCCACAGCAGACCCGACCATTGGAGTCTTCCCCACCCCTGCTGCATCTGAGCTTTCTGGGGTCTGTGGTTTTCTGCGGATCAGCAGATTCAGCCAGCTCCAGCAGCAGGTGAACAAACCAGCACTGTGCTCAGGGAGGCAGGAGGAGAAAGCGAGGCCCAAGGCGGTGCGATAAGTTGCGTCAGTTCTTTGAATTCTGCAAACTTTTTTTGATGTGGCATTTATTTACGCAAACCTATGGGTTCCCTTAGGTGGAATCTTTTAGTTGAATGAAAAATTTCAGCCTCTGCCATCTATAAATTCCACAAGTAGACTGAAAAAGTGAGAGTTTTGCCTGTAAGTAAACAAACTGGAAAATCCGTGCAGATATCCTAATTAGCCCATTCGTGACTCTTCCTCCATGAGATGAAGAGAGTTTCCAGACAAACAGTGGCTGAGATGCTTTAACCGTGGGACTGTTCTCCTGAAAGATGTCAGCRAAGTGTGGTTTGTTGTTGCAAACTGTAGTAGTTAGAAAGGAAAGCCTACTCCGGAAATAATTGTTCTACATGAAAATGAAATGTGTATTATCTTATTAAAACCCAAAAAGTTACAATTCATTTAACTCTTCAAATTTCAAGTAATTTTTGYTGCAGCTGTTGTTGACGAAAGACCTAGATACTGCAGAGATTACAAGTAAATGTGATCCCTCTTTATTAAGGTGGTCACTGTAGTGGAAAAAGTTTTTTCTCCTACTGAGGTAGGTCTGTGGCACTTGAAGGCTTTTCTGTTTTTTTTAATATATATATGTGAGTTGTTTAATAAGAGATTTCACCTCTGCACACAAATGTCCTGCCTTGATTTCAAATAATAAAGAAGATTCACATTCAAGGAAAAACTATTGCTTTTTTTTTTTTTTTTTTTTTTTTTTTTTTTTTTTTTTTTTTTTTTTTTTTAAAACCCCTCATACCCTCTAAAAAAAAAAAAAAAAAAAAACAAACAAAAAAAAAAAAAAACCACCGTAATTGCATGTTTATTTGGCACAGATTGCTCCAGGAAGAACTGAGTAATTGTGTAGCTTCATTTTGGCCCAGGAAAGCACGGAAGAGCAGTGAAGCATTTGTCTCCCTTGCATTCATTATTTGGCCTTGAGTATTCCTGGCACAGTTCAGGCTCAGCTCCCAAGAGAGCAGCACCATCCCCTGCATCTGAAAAGCCCCCATGCTCAGCATCAGCAGCAATTCCCTGGGGGCTGCATCACCTTGCAGTGCCCATGCAATTTTTCRTGAGATTCAGCACTGAAAGAATCCCTGAAGCTCACAATCAGTTTGGAGGTGCAGGTGTTCACCTGGATTTTCCTGTTCTAAGCAGAGGGTTGATGTCAGTGAAAGGGATGTGTAAGATCCTGCACCTGAGTCAGGGCAGTGCCAAGCACAAATACAGGCAAGGGCAGAGAATGGGTGGGGAGCAGCCCTGAGGAGAAGGACTTGGGGTCCTGACAGATAAGAAGCTCAAGGTGAGCYGTCAATGTGCTCTGACAGCCCAGAAAGCAAAAACATCCCTGAGCAGCAACAGAAGCATGGGCAGCAGGTRGAGGGAGATTCTGCACTTTCACCCTCCTTGGGTGAGACCCTGCCTCTGGGTGTCCAGCTCTGTCCGACTGTAGAGCATGGACAGCTTGGTGTGAGTCCAGAGGAGGCCAGAGGATGGTCTGAGGCTGGAACACCTCTGCTATGGAGACAGGCTGAGAGAGCTGGGTGTGCTCAGCCTGGAGAGGAGCAAGTTCTGAGGAGACCTTATAGGCCCTTCCAGTATCTAAAGGGGCTCCAAGAGAGCGGGAAAAGGACTTTTGACAAGGGCCTGGAGTGATAGGACAAGGGGGAATTGCTTCAGTGTGCAGGTTTAGATTAGGCACTGGGAAGAAATTCTTCCCTGTCAGGGTGGTGAGGCCCTGGCACTGGCTGCTCAGAGAAGCTGTGGCTACCCCATCCCTGGAGCTAATCAAGGCCAGGTTGGATGGGGCTTTGTAGGAGCCCTAGGTCTAGTGGGTGACATCCCTGCCCATGGCAGGGGTGTTGGAAATAGACACCTTTTAAAGGTCCCTTCCAACTCGAACCACTCTGTAATTTTATAGTTTTATAAGATGTGATACTTCTGGATATTTTTTTCCATTGTTTTCTAATAGCTGACAACTGATCAACCTTTAACTACAGAGACAAAACATACTGGCATTTAAAAATGTGCTACTCCTGTGTGCTATCCTGTTGTGCATTGCTTTCATAATTTGAACAATACAGGATTAAACAATTTCTATGGACATATTTTACACATTTTTTCTTCACTGTACAGAATGGGAATATCCTTTCCAAAAACATTCATAGCAGTAAAA